ATCTGAAGGTCGGTTGCAAGGTAAACATTACAGCCCGTGTCTACTATAAGTAGAAATTTACAAATACATTTCTGTCTACAGATCACTCTATCCTATCACAACTTTTTAACGATTTATTACGTAGTAGCTGTCTTCCAGAAATTATGGGTTACCGATATATTAGAGCTTTAAAGTACAAACTGCCTTATGTAAGAGTAATTTGGAATGTTATTTACGTAACCCGAAAAGAAGGTACGGACATTGACATTTTATTTGTCAACCCCAGCTCCTTTAAGAACGACGTACGATTATCACCGTTCATTTGCCCACTTCGTCAGAAAAAAAATTATTCACAGCGTAGTTCAAGTTCTTGTTAAAAAGTTCTACCTTTTTAAATAACAGAAATCGCTAAAGCTGAGCTGTGAGATGGCTGGTGTAATTCGGCGAAATCAGTGTTGATTCAAGTTTTGAAGTTAAGAATAATACATAGAGCTGTTAGGAGCACATTTTTCTGACTAATAAAATGCGGACATTTTTTGATTATAGTTCATTTTTTAAAGGAGCTGAAAAATATGCAACGTAGCATACACAAACTCAAGGTAACTTTGATCCTATTTATTTTTTACAAAAAATTCTCGTTCATGTTGGTTTCCAATAGTTTCCATGCAACACTAGTAAGCATTCAATGAGACACTTTGATTCAAAGATTAAAAAAAAATTGTGCGTTAATTATGGGATGTTTTTTGGGGTGCGTGATTTTTTCAGATTTTTTTAAATAATGAGGTACCTATAACACCAGTTTCGATTTCAATTTAAACCCTTCTGGCTATATCCTTTCGTTTAGTGAGCTAAAGGTTTTTTTTTATAAATAACTTACGTTCGACTAATTTGGGGGATGTTGAATTTTTATGCTTGATTCATATATATTTAAAAATATTTACATTGGTTGTAGTGATATTTCCAGATCTGATTTTTATAGTCACAATCTTAGATCATATAATAAATTATTATATGATCTAAGGTCACAATTCTAAAAAAAAGTCACTATCGCATCGCCATGCAGATGATTCGAATTCTTTTGCACAGTTTTTTTTTTGCATCTCAGGTGTCGAGTAATTCTCCGCTACGCACTTAATAATAATAATCGACTAGTGAATTTGAAAAAAATAGTAAAAATATCCCTTCTCACATTTTGGTGGTTATAACGATTTTAAAGTTGATTCTTTTGATAAGTTTAGCAACTAAATAATACGTTCATTGTGACAAAATAACTAGTAATAAAACTTACAATTAATAATTCTCTTGACCGTGGTCATGTTTAATTAGCATTTCAGTTGGAATGTACCAATAATCTTGATTTTTTTTAAAGTAAGTTTATCCTCTTTGAATAGCTAAAGTCCATTTTTTAATTAAAAAACCACCAACGTCGCAAATTTATATATTTTTATAATAATATCGGAAACAACCGGCAACTTTATTATTATTATTATTGCACGCTCGAGCAGAGAGTTCACACTTTGTTATGCCTGCGTGAGCAACAACTTTGTACATGTTCTGACATGGGGGGATTATTTTGAAGTGATTGACAGGACGCGTTGAAAGGTTAAGAACAAACTTTTAATAAAAAATAAACCAAAATATTGATGAACTAGGCCCCGTTTGAAGAATGATGTTCATTTCAGGCTCATCAACTTCCATAATGTATTCGTTGTTCTCATCGTCGGAAAGGTCGCTGTCTGAATCTGGGTCCGCCAAAGAAATTACAAATGGCGGAATGTTTTCTGGGCTTAAAATGCCCATTTCCTTACGCCAATCTGCTTGTATTAGTTTTTCACAGTGGTGGATGCTATTTTGCCACATTTGTGGCGTAAAGTGATCCAAAGCTTCAATCCACAAGTGACTAACACGATCCTTGTCATTGGAATTCTCATGGATATATTTGTTGTAAAATCCTTTACAATGGGCCCATGCCAACTCAATTGGGTTGTACTGGCAATGGTAAGGTGGCAATCGCAACACATCAATGCCTTTTTGTGCCAGTAATATATCGATTTCATACTTGATCGGGGCATTTACAATTCTTGCCTCAACTAAGGCCCATAACTGTTTCTGCGTCAATTTAGGATCAAAAGTGATATCATATTCGGCCAGATGATCTTGTAGAATAGCTTTCTTTGAAGATTTTGTAGGTGGCTTTTCTAGTTTGATCAAATGGTAACTAGCATTATCTAGTATAACTACTATTTTTGACTTATTACTAAATTCAAATTTGGTACAAGCTGTTCTACTACCCAATGCTTGAATAAAAATGCAGCCTTGTGATAGTCCCTGTCATTGTTTGAAGAATACAAAAGTAAGCTACATCTGTTACTGAAGCCTTCTGAACAACCTGCGTGCAACACAGTGAACCGCGAGCCTTCAAATTTGGGAATTTTGTATTTTTTTGTGGGCATATTGTCATTGACCTAAGTCTTAAGTTGTGAACCGTGTTTATATATCCATGTTTCATCCAAGAATATGAATTTAACATTGGGGTAATCCTGCTTATATTTGAGATAACTTTTTAGAAACTTTATACGTTTGGCAACTACATATGGCTTTTCTGTAAGTATCTTCAGATTATTTTCAAATTTATACTTGAAACCCATTGATTTTAGAATTTTGTATAAACAACTTCTTGATCCACCGTATTCTAAATTATTTTTTGCAAAGGCCAGGATTTTGTCCACTGTTTCTTTATAGTGCTGTATTTCCCGACCTAACTCGTCCTTAAAAAAGTGATTTTCAAACTCGTCTAATTTTGTCCTTCTCCCAGAACTTCTAGATAAAATCAGTGTTTCTCCTTAACGGTATGATTTTAAAATTTGCCTTACATTAGATCGAGATCCCTAATTTACAAAGAAAAACCGTGTCAGTTATCGTAGAAATAATTATTATGGAAACCAATTTGATACCGAGAAAGTCGCCGCCAATTTTGCATGAAGATTTCGCTCAGATGTATTTGGAGCCAGTTCCAAAATAAGATCAGAACATTTTACGAGGGCTATTTTCAACTTAACGTCTACAAGATTTCGCACTTTTCTTTCCATTTTTTTTAAATTAACGAAATGAATGACACCGTGCAAGTTTTAAACGAAGCGCTGTCAATAAGCTGACATGCCAACATAAAATTTTAAGTTCCCTACGTAGGTACGGTTTTTCTATGTTGCCAACTGAAAGCTGGTGCAACGTTGGCGGTTTTTTAATTAAAAAATAGATAATACCTGAAAAAACTTTAAGTCGTATGAATTAATTACTACTATACTGTGTACGGTGAGAGATTGAGTGACAGAAAAGTCACTAAATCTACGCCAAGAAAAGTGTAATATTCGCGCGAAATTTGAAATTTCAAAATCATTCTAAATTACTCGAGAATTTTTGTAGTAAAACAGACTTATCGGAGATCATTGTCGCACTACGAAACGCGTTCGTATTGTGAGAGTCGCTCACAAACTCGGAGAAACCAAGTAGAAACCCTGGGCAGGCGATAAGCTTACCCAGTTGAGAGCAGGCCCGACCATGGAATTATTTCTCGCAAGCGTCCTCTCAAGTGGACACGTACCTTAAAGAAGCACTCGAGATGAGAGTCAGAAAAGTGGCCTAACCTTAGTAATGGAACTTTCAGTAGTTTTACATTTGTAACAGAGACAGTGACAGCCAGCTGTAAGTGACAGCGTAGGAATTTCAGTGTATTTTATAGTGTTAGGTTGCTGCCAACTTACATGTCAACTGTCAAGAAATCCCAATCTCTCACCGGAACCACTATAGTTTTTACGTATTTCTTTTGTTGTAATTACTTTTGTGTGTCGTCTTATCTATCTTGTATCTTTTTTCGACATTAAATACATGTTATTATTATTATTATTATTAAGATATGCTGGTGTTGTTTTTGTAATAATTTGATAAAATTCAATTTGATAGCAATGTTTACCTAATGCATATCAATCCATATTCCAATCAGTCAGTAAGACACAGACTTTCTGACCCCTGAAAGGTTACAAAGTCAGCGATTTCACGGATACATTTTCAATAAGTTGGAAAAGCCTGAAAGCAGTCAGTACCTTATGACGCGTAATCGGTCAGAAATGACCTACTTTCCGATCTATGGCGGTGCCACGGTCCATTTGAACTTTAAATGTCAAATGAAAGTATTTATTGCAATGGTGGCCGTAGAAGTTATAGTGGGAATTGCCGCAAATTTTTCTGATAGTAGTGAGAGCGACAATGACAACGAATACCAAAGACTAGTGAGAGAGCCGTTTACTATACGGCAGATTTCTGAGAGAATAAATATTACAAAAAAAGGCCGTTATCACCATCTAACGGCAATGAATAAGTTGTATAACTGTTAAAAAGGTTTGACGCATCAAAAATTGTCAAAATTTTTAGATGTGAACGATCTGGGAATCCAGATTCCATTATTTTTGTTATACCAAAATCGGCTTATAAAATTTTTCAAATAATTACTTCGGACAACGTAAACATCCTGCACTTTATGCCTACCGAAATTGGCACATCTTATTCACATACGGTAACCATTTTCTTGTATATAATTTTTGGTCGTTGCCCTCCTTTTTTAAGCAACGATATTTAAATTTCGCATAGTTCGTTTTTTGAATAAGAATTATTTGTTAATTTTAGCAGACTAGAAAAAATACCAGTGAGTTAATCGGTTTGGTGCAACTTACATTGACATGATTACTATTTTTATAGAAATACGTTTGCAAGAACAGACCCGCACCGTGAACCCTGTTTTACTGCATTTTTTGCTGGTACTCGTAGCTCTTAATAATATGCCATACCACCGCATGCCGTCTCACTTTGACCACCGTTTTAGACAGAATTCGTTCTCTTTTTCTCCCTTAACTATTTAATAAACATGAAACAGCTGTCGACCCTTTAGATCGATTTGCTTTCGTGGGAAAGTCGTGTTATAATTGTAACTCTTTAAAAATGATTAAGATCAAACTGTTGCTGTTTACCTGTTGAGGAAATCGGTTGAGTTGTAAAGTCAGATTGACACTAGGAGTTTCACTGTAGTATACTGTGTAACCCCAAGCACTTCCACACCATTTTCCACCTGAAGTTGGCCGATTTCCTTCTTTAATTGATATAAATCCGTCGGGACATCCTTCAGTGGTAAACGATTCAAAAGTTCCCACAGCGAAGGACTCAAAACTTAGCTTAGTTGAAAAAGTATATATCGATTAACAACGTATAAATGAATGAATTCTACCTAGTCATAATCAGATGGTACTTTTTCAAATTATCGTTAAGAAACAGTAACCTAAGACGTATGTGTGCAGACACTACATTGAAAACAAGTAAAAAATTTTATCAGCGGCTAACAAAATTTAATAGAAGTGTTGATTAGGGTCTTAATCATCAAAGTAGCAAAGTAACTATTCTGTATGGTTGAACTCAGGCTCGAAGCATAGGGAACTCATTTTACATAATAATATGTATAATATATACTACATATGTATTCATATATATTATTTCGTGTCTCAAAGAATTTTTGTGTTTTGACACTCTTCTCTCAAATTTCCCTTTTGAGTTTTCTTGTGACAGAAAATTCTTCTTTCTAAGAAATCTATGAAACTTGTTTTTAAAATAGATTGTCTATATATTTATGGGGTACATAGTTCGACCATACTTTTTCTCGCTCAGGTTTAAGTGAACTGTAGGTACAACAGATACTCAGCTTCAGGCATATCATAAATGCTAAAACATGCCAACGTTGTTAAAACGTATCTAGACTTTTAACAAAACTGACATGTGTTGGAATTACAGCGCCTATTAAACTTTTCGTCAAAGCTCAAGTCCTAGGGCATCCACATATCGATGCCTATGATGGCTTTCTGCTAATATTTTTTCGTCATGACAAAAGGATAAATACTGTTAATTAAGGATAATTTGTAGTAACCATTTGTGTCCCTGAGCTCGTCAGATGTGTGCACAGTCAAATAACGGTTATTTGCATGCATTTACCTACATATAAGCAATTAAATTTAATAATTCATTGAATCAAGCTCTGTGAAGCAACGAAATGTCATCTTTCTGATTATTATCTTTATTACCTGCACGAGTTCACCAAGTATGCCTCCACCGGCCGTGAAATTGAGATAACATAAAAAGGGCATCTGATTTTCGGTAGGCCTTTTCACTTCCAGTTCGTAGGTTCGGCCAATTTCACCGAAGTAGGTCGTATTACAAGCTAGAGAAATTATTTATGATGGAAAAAAATGTAAAAATGCAAACAAATATTTTGACAGTTATGCTTCTGGTACATTTTACCAAAATAAATGACCAAGTACGTCTACAAATTGTTACAGGAGTTAAGCTTTTTCTTAGGCAACTTGATGTTTCCCATACTACGACTTTAATAAGAAAATGACAGTAAAACATTGTTAGTCTTGTCATGTTTGTGTGTGTGAGCAAGTTTCTTACAAATAGAATTTACATTTTTGTATATATATATATATTTTTTATCAAATACATCAGTTTTTTTCAGCTCTCATACTTAAGGAACAGAAATTATCCACTCATATTTAAAAAATGTACAAATGTAGCTAATATTGTATGGGACCGTATTGTGGAGGGAATAATAATAATTATAGGTGGAAAATATACACGCAGTAAAAAACCGGTAGTAGGTATATACCGGTTAAAAACACAAAAAATACCCCGGCAATAGAATAGTATTCAAAGTAAATCTGATCTTGAATATTTAATGATTTTCGAAGTTGATTTCTGTTTTCAGTATTTTTTTTATTCATAAGTAATTTTGAGAATGAATATGCTCGAATTTAACGCGTTAGCGATAATAGTGAAATAAAACACCCTAGAAGAATTTGCACAGCTTGCAAACAAGGTTAGTATATCAGAGTACTTTTAAGGGCTAACACGATTATGGATACCTAAATTGACTATTAACGCCCCCTTTCCACTTCTCTCTGGTCATATAGACGGATATGCAGCTTCAAAATAATTAATAGCTAATATAAAACGAATAAAAATGTCTGATATCTATGAAACAGACTATAATTATTATTAGTTTATTCACTGTCTTATGTAATGCAAAATATGTATTTCAATATAATAAACCCCAGTTAATACCATATTAACCCGGTAACATAAAATTATTGATGCACGTTCTGATCACATATAACTACATAGTTTTAACTAAACAAATAACAAAAAAACATTAATATGTTGAAACTTTTTTGAATAACAACTGCATATTCATATAAAGTGGATATACATAGATCCATAAAGCATGCTTGTTTTGTGCTGTTAAGAGTAGTTTTAATCACTTTTATAAAAAAGAAAAACCTCGACACCAGGGGTAGCAGAGGTTGCGGATAAATACATAAAAAGAAAAAAAAAAAAATATATATATATATATATATTACGAAAACAAATTTATGTATGTGATGAATATATTAATTCGATTTATTTCGGTTTTTTATTTGTGATTTTCTTCCAAAAGCAGAAATGTCGCTGTAGTGGCACATTTTACACCGCGAAATCCAAATTCGTGTTACTTACGCGTACATCCCGGGATCTCGTCACTTCCGTCCGCACAGTCCTGGAACCCGTTGCACTGTCGATTCCCAGCAATGCATTGTCCATCATGGCATTTGAACTCAGTTCGTTTGCATTGGTCTTTACCGCTGGCGACCGCCGCCAAAATCGTAACCGCCACCAGCACCAGCACGATGGACCTAAACCTAAAAATTCGTCGAATGATTTATCGCGTACGTTGCACGCTAGAATACTCACATTATGGCCCGTTACGGTGTTTACGCATCATCGGAACGACTAGTGGATGTTTAGAGGCGTCGACGGCATCGTCGAAGCGTCGATAAAACAATAAAATACGGCAATAAACCGATTAAGTCTGTAAACATTGAGGTGCCGGGCAGAGCTTTGCTATTGGCGGCGCGCAGCGAGCTACGCGCAATTCGGAAGCTCGATCGAAGCGAGGACCAAGCTTTTATCAAAGTTTCAATGCCCGCGGGGATGGTAAACGGTCCGAGCGTTTAGTGATGGGTTTGATGACTGGGGTGGACGCAAGACGGCGGGGGCGGCCATAGAACAATTTATTTGCCTTTTTTTGTCTCTTTAACAATGACAATAATGTTCCGTTATATGACAACCTAATTTCATGTCTTCATTTTATGAACCATGTTTACATTTGTATGTTGTTTATCAGCTGCTATAACTGTCTTAATTTTTTATTACCCACAGATCACAGAATGCAAACATGTACTACATCTTCTGTTAAGACTAATAAAATATTTCATCATGTGTTTTGAAAATTTGTTTTTTTTCATAATTTAATTACATGACCAACTAGTAGTATGAGTTAACAATGGTTTTGTAAACTAGTCTCAAGTGCATGTCTTCTGATGAAGATATCAAAACGCTTATGTAATATTTTTAGACATTTCTTCAAAATATTATAAATTTAATTTCACTTAAAATGTGCAGTGCAATACGAGTATGTTCATTTTACTTTAAAACTAAGGTTTTAATGAGCCCAACGAAGAGCAAGGGCAAAATGAGAAGATTGATTCCTAATTAGTGTCACTATACTACTTATTAAGATAAGCACAAAAACGAAGTGACCATGCCAAAACTAAAACGAAATTTAGTATGTTGAAAGATTAAAATAAATTAATTTGGAAGACGCAATTAAACGGAAAAAGTCTGATGAACGTAGCCATCAAATTCTGTATAGGGTAAATGTGTACAAGAGTACGCACTTAGTGTAAAACTGTCAACAACTTTTTAATTTTTTTGGATAGACAAATTTTATGATATAGGTTCGTTATATACATGTTTAGAGATCAGATATATTTAATTGTACGCCCCAACACCACTATATTTTAAGAGTAATTTCAATTTTTGTCAAGATGTGTAAATGCGCACTCTTAGACAGTTCATTGCACAAGAGTGCGCATTTGAACGCTTATGAGTACGCATTACATTTTATGAAAAAATATTTGTTTCTAAGGTGAAAATAAATGGGAATAAGTGACTACAGACTACACATAAAACGGGAGACCTATTTCTTCGTACTCTAGGGGTCTTGAAAAGACGAGAAAACGTAAAAATAGAGAGTCGGTCGACGGACTCGATTACAACACGCTCAGGAAGTAAAAATAAAAAAAAAATCACTATAACCACCACCACACAACTTGAGAAGCAGTACAAAGTAGTAGAGTTAAATAATTCATTATCGTATGATATGTATCTCCAAGACTATTAGATTACGTATTGCAAGCAATGCGCACTCTTATACAATACCTCGCTGCGCACTCTTGTACATTTGTACATAACCTAATGTTTTCAAAGTTAAAAGCTTTTGATGGACAGAAAGTGTAAAACTGTTAGTGTATAACGACACCTTAAAAGTTACAACTAATGAAAATTATTACTGTAAAATAAAAGAACTGGTACGTACCTTACAAAAAACTAAAACTATGAGCGGTAAAAATTACATCCACACAACGTGTGAACATAAAATCGTCAGTACGACCAAACTATAAACTATATTCAGGTCACTTTTGCACCTTTATCTCAGGTTTAACATTAAATTCTGAATGGTATAACTTCACCTTACCCAGATGGCACTAATAACCAGAAATCATCACTGCGTACTCTTATACATATGCGCACTCTTATACACATTTACCCTATTATCTATGACATATTCTTTTGGAATAATCAAATGGTCAAAATGATTTAAAAAAAATTGACAACTACAACAAGAAATTTATTCACACAATATGGAAGACATCCGAAATCATCCGCTGAGAGATTCTCGTTGAGAACTGTCAATTTTGTTGTATGTACGTACCTTTCAATAACACCCTGTATAGCATTGGGTTGGAGGTAGATCCCACTTGGGGACTAAGTGGGTGGATCTTCACTGTTACCAGATCTTCCGGGGCATATATAGGAGTTGGTCGTCGTTTTTCGTTTGTGTATCTCCTTTGTTTGTCCTGTGGCCTGCGGATGTGGCTCATCATCTAGGGGTTTTTCTTTGCCGCGTAATTTTAAAGTTTTTGGGCGGACTCCGGCCTCTTCGTTGGGCTTTACTTGTAACTGTTTATGCAATAATGTCTTTCTTTTTGAATCCCACGTTGGGTGCTACTTATAGCACTTCATGTAGGGTTGTAGATTCTCCGGACCAAAAGAACGGACCGCCGTCCATGCACAGTGCTTTTGGGGAAAGGAAGACTCACAAACCCCTGAGGGAAGTTCTGTCGAAATAACCTTCGCCTATTTTTTTTGCTTCTCGAACGTAAGCTGTAATCGAGTCCATCAGACGACTGGCTACTTTACACATTTTCTCGGTATATGATGAGCACTGGGCGGAAAAGTATCTTACGGATGCAATTCCCCAGTTGAAGCAAGGTGTGTTTTACGGCGAGTAGCGGGGACGCTTTGGTCTGGTCCACAAGGTCGTAGCCAGTGCGTCGCTAGTAGGAGTGTTTACAGCTTGTTAAAAAACTACTTCTATATTACTATATTACTTCAAATAAAAATACCCGATGCCCTTTTTAATTTTTCAAACACAGGACCACAGATTTGTGATCTTGAAATGTTATATTATGTTGATATAGTCCAAAAGAAAAATATATTTGTAATCAAACTATCGCCGCGACAGCACTGGATCTAGCGTATGAAACACAATTCCGCGCGTTGATGATGAGTATTGATGAGCCCGAGAGTATAAAAATATACGTCTCCCGTTTCCATCTGTCTGTGTGTCTGCCAGACGGTTCGCCGTCCGTGTGAATTTTTGTTAAACAAATAATATCTGAAACTACGGACGACTGTACGACGGTGCAACGCTAGCCAAACTTTATTTAATCGTCCCCACCAACAAGGTGATCACTTCACTTCAAAATTGTACGTAGTAAATGGGTTTTAAATAAAATAACATAGTCTTACAAGTGTAGTTTATGAATCCGTGTTGATTTTATATCCCAGACATCCAAATTAATTTAATTTTGAACTGCAATACCGAATGCTGAAATCTTGCAGACGTATCATTTCATTAATATTTTTTAGAACTGCTTATACAGGCTGACACAAAGCAATTAAGGAACGAGTCAATTTATTTCACTCCATTTTCACGAAAATTTGGGAATACATTACTGTTATTATTAGTATTGCACTGCGTCTATTCAATCTGATATACAAATCCTTGCAAAAATCTTGATGACGTCATCACAAAATTTTGTGAAGAAAAGATTTGAAATATAGATCTCGCATTTAGATTTACTTTAACATTACATGTATGTATTTATTATAACTTATAGGGGTTTCCATTAAAAATAAAATTCGCAAAATCAAATTTTATAATTCTTCGAAAAAGGTGGCTGTTTTATTGTATTGCCTGTATAAGCAATTAAAAAAAAAATCGAATGATTAATCAGAAGTATATACTCGTCATATTTTCCAGATTCGAAATAACCTTCGAACATTTGTTTTTATGTGATTGAAATGTTGTCAGCACTAAAGAGAACAGAAAAATTGACACTTTTATAAGTAAGATAGATGTATGTGATAAATTAATCATAATGTTAACATGAGAACGAATATTTCTAGATATTTAACAAATATATACTTACTTTTGCTAGCCACGCTCATCAACAAAATATAAAATACCTATCTATAAAATTTTCGTGGAAATTTAATAAATACATAAAATCAAGATAATCTGAAGGTTGTAAATGGATAACACCGACATGATATTGAGATCTATTGGTTTAACTGACGGTGACAAAAACCTCGACCTGGCATTGAGTGGGTTGCTATGACCGTTACTTCAGTCTTTTTTGTTGCTTCTGTTTTATTAAAACGAGATCTGAACTTTGAACAAATGATTTATTCGTGCTTGTTGCTAAAGTTTTTTGGATGGTTTAAATGGGGATTTAAAATGTCAACAAAAAAATTCGAAGTATCTATTTGCAAAGTGGGGAAAGAGAAAATATTATTACAAGAAAATGAATAAAATAATAAAACGTAATAAAATGTAAATTAAAATATATATTAAATGCAATTGAAGCTAAGCAAGTTACCGATCAGATCCTTCATTTACTTTGATAAGCTAATACACTGCCAGACAAAAAACCCGAACATTTGATTATTTGCAATTAGTCGACCTTTTGTAGAAAATTGTTCGAAAGTTGTTTCGACAGAACTTCCCTCGCACCTAAAGTACGATGAAACATATCCAGCATTTTCAGTTGAGTTTTTCCTTTACACAATTTTGTGATGCCGTCATCAATATTTTTGCAAGGACACGTATATCAACTTGGATTGGTGCAGTGTAATACAAAAAATAACAGTATTGCAGGAGCGGCTGGTGCCGGGAGGTACAAGGGCACGTGCCCCCTCAAAATTACAACGTCTACAAACACACTGGACATGGTAAAATAGTAATTTTCAATATTTAAAAAATTATCCGCAAAATTGTGGCATAATTATCTAAACTAATTTTTTATCTCACTCCACTTGTATAAAATGTATCAAAACGTACATCCACTTACATCTAAAGATGAGTGTCTTGGATATATAATATGTTCAAGATATGTTATTGCTGATAAAAGCCGGGCACAGAGACCGAATCATGGCTGACTTAGATGTTTTGTTTACACCGTTGCCATGGAAACCACACGTCGTAGCCGCCTGATATGCGCCTGATACAACTGGACTGGGGTCCCGTTACGACTGTGCTCGGGAGGATTGACTTACTATCGTGGGTTTTAATTTTCATTCTGCGCAAACACGTATGATAAATATTCTTGGAAAATCTTCTCGGTAATACAGACATTCGGAAACAACTACACATTATATATTAATAATATTCGGGCAGGGGTCGACAAAAATCGGCATATATTAGGCCGATTGATAATGTGCAAAAAATTTGAACTTGCTTTACGTGGACATGACGAAAGTAGGGAATCACAAAATCCATGTATATTTCGAGGTCTGATTGATTTTACGACTGAATTGGACTCTGCTTTATCAAATCATTTGAAAGAAGCAACGGTTTTTAAAGGAACACCTACAACTGTTCAAAGTGCACTTT